CCCTCCTCAGTTTTCTTCCCTCCTTCACAATTTTATTATTTTCCCTCCTCATTCTTGAACTCCCTCCTTCTCCACAATTTTATCATTTTCCCTCCTCCTCCTCCACATTTCTATTGTTTTCCCTCACAATCACAGCAGCAGGAAATAGGACTAGCTTGCATAATTACGTTACGTCTCAGTGATTTTAAGTCACAGACAAGTTTGACTTTACTCCTCAGACACTATGAATGAAACTAACCAATCGAAAACGAAGACATTTATCGACCTTAAAGTAACTAGAGAATCTAAACCAACTAAAACTAGCACACGACCTTATCTTAATGAGATTCCTGTGTATTTTATTCATGAGATAGAGACAAAAGTCTATGACGTCATCGGCGTTAATTTATTCCACTTCAAACTAATGAGATTCCACTTCAAAAAACAGGAGTAACCGGTGCGCCCTATACTACTTACATGTACAACTGATGTCGTCGAGGTGTTTGGATTTCACAAAAGACACTCTTTGCGTGTTTGATAGAACTTGTCGAATGATCAGTAATTCTTCAAATAATTTAAATCAGATAATTTTTGGTTATTAAATCGCATTTCTAAACCTCATACTCTATAAACACTAACCAAAACGATAACTGGCGCCTGCTACACAGACCAATAATTAAATCATTTGCTAAAAAGCCCACGGAGAAAAACTGCTACGGTATATAATTTTTGAAAAATTTCAAGTAAATCGCTGCGAGCGATCAACAGTCGAGAAAATGGTGAACTTCTACCCTTTGCAAAGTCTCCAACTCAGAGACTTTGAATGTCATGTGACCTTGAAGTAACCAATGAAATATTAATAAACACTAGTGAAGAAGGATTTTAACTTCTATAACAGTGGTTGTTGCCTTAACTCTTTAGCTGTCTCTTAACTCTATATTTACCAAGAAAAGGCGAGAAATGAAAGTTAAAAAGAGTTTGATGTGGTGTACAAACACCTCGTTGGCTTTGTCCGTTTTATTTTAGACATTCCAAAGAATGTTCGGAAAATTCAGCTACGTCGCGCGTTTTTAACCAACTTCGCAGTGTTACGATATCATGATAAAACACTCTTTCCTGTGTTAAACAACTTCTAAATCGAAATGCAAGTTTGAAGTTAAACTCACAACTAAGTCAGTTAGTTATAAACTATACGTATACTCATGAACTCTCTACTTACAAGAAAAGTAAATGTTGTAGCTGAAGAATTTCATTCTCTGTAACAGTTGTGATGTTGTTTCTTTCCAAATGGCTGCGAATGTGTTAAAAGTAGCTTTAAATGTCAGTGTATTTCACGGTGAGAACACAAGATACTTAAATTACGTATATAAGAGCTGAGTCAAACTGAAAGAACACAAACATTCGTCCACCTCTACAGAAAAAAAAAATAAAGTACTCATCACATCATCAACTGGTCAGTTGCACAGATCCATTTTACTCACATAGATTTAACGTTTTTGTAGCTATTTCCAAATTGAAATCTTGGGATATTATTTCCAGAGAGGTCTCTGTTGAGAAAAATATAGACTTGTTACTCATCTTTGTTCTTCGTAAAAAGCTGCACGGAAATCTCGAAACTTTTACTCAGTTTGTCTTAACTTGCTTTCCGTTGAAGCATGCTAGAATAACTTACACTATTTCCACATCCCAGCGCTCGTCAAGTCCCGGGATTTCGTAAAGTTGAGCATTTCTACACTGTAGAAGCTTCTTATTTTGATACAGTTTACATCCCGGAGGAAAAGCACCAGAGGTTTCTGAAATGAGTGTCGGCAATGGATTATTTTCTCCATAGGACAACGAGGAAGCCTCGGTAAGGGGCAGTTTCCCTGGAGAGTTAAGGAGGAACAAAATTAATATTGGTGTTAAAAACGGCTGGTTCATCCTTAAATTTTTGGCATCTTTTGAACACGTATGCTGACGTCATAATTGCACCGTTCATGCACGCGTACGCTGTCACTATACGCGTGCGCGCGTGCATTACAACCTTCGACGTTCGTCTCTGCCTTTTTTTATTGCTTTCAAATAAAACAAGCGTGGAAGGGAATACATCATTGAAACGTTCAGCTCACGACTGCTCTGAATCTCTTTACTTATCACCCTCTGATGCAACATATAACTAGTACTTTATTTTTTAAGAGGCCTTGCTTTCCTCTTCAAAAACAAAAGTCATATTTCCCATTAAAATTATGCCTATTGTAGTGCAACTTCCATGTCCTGTCCGATGTAGGCAATCAAAATCCGGAAAAAAAAATCCTCTCCTCTGAACTTCTTTGAATCTTCGACCAGCAACACGTGCAGCGTGGAACGGCGTGCAGTGTGGTGGAATACCTAGAGCAAATCATTGATTGTGACGTCAAAAATGAACGACAGGTATTGCGCACGCCCCGAATCTGACATCCAAAGAATCGAGAATTTTTCTTCGCTTGGATGTGAAGTAACACCGCTGATGCAATTATGTTTGTTATATGATGTCATACCACACAATTAGAGGGCGTTAACTTCTATTACGTCAAAGGTTAACTAACTCGAAGACTTGATGTTTGTCGCAATTGATTGATAATGATTGACTGAAAAAAAAATGAGCAAGCGCTGGCTGGAAATCAGCTCACTATTGGTCATTTTATTTATCACTTGTTGTACTGGAGCAAATGTTCCCTCGCCCGGATGCAAGGTCAAGAACTCTGGAAAAGTGTTGCAGTGCAGGGGTGTCGGACTAAACAGGATACCTGAGACGATACCTGACGGAATTGTGGTCGTGTGAGTGAATATAGATTTTAGCCCATTGTGTGGCTTTCGTTACTTTTAGTGTCTCTCTTTAGAAGGAAAATCTCCCGAATGCACGAGCAAAATGACGAGTTTATGCGACAACGTGACGAATGTAGAATGTAGAACGAGAAATTTTAGTCATTTTCTGTATTACTCTCGCTTGAATCTACAGGAAATTGCCTTACAGAATCCAAAAACTTACGAAGAAATGTCGTGATTGGGTTCATGGTTCGTTACTAAAAGATGCCTTCAGAAATGACCAGTTTTTGCACTTTAGGAGATTCGTTCTTTGTTGTCAAACATAAGCTTACGACATTATTTTTTTCATCGTTTTAAACTAGCCATTTCGCTCGCGCCGAGCACTTACTTGTTTCTCTCTTTAAAGAGACGGTCCCCTAACAGTAACGAAAGCCCACTCTAGTCCCTATACTACGCACGCGTTCTCTCTTGACCCGTTGTCCGCGCGAAGTCTGGGAAAGAGCGGGCGAGTCTCTCTCGGTGACGCCACCGCTCAAGGTATTATCCAGCTTTTTAGGCCTACACCAGCAGTTTTATGGGAAAAAAGTAAAATTGGTTGGAATCTCTCGAAAAAAATTCTGTATGTTGTCTTAAATCTTAATACTTAAGACTAGTCAAACTGATTCTAATGGGCACTAATTCATCAAACATTTCTTGTTTTTAGTGATTTGAGAGAAAATAATATCAAACATATAAGACACGAAGACGCTAAAACCCTTTTCCAGTTCCGGAAAGTGTAAGTATAACAACTTACAGTATTTGCAAATTCACTGTTAAACAGAAAGCTGCGTTCTAGAAATAATTAACAATTATTGGACGAGGTTGAGCAAGATATCGTGATTTGTCAGTGGCGAGCGCTTTGGCAAATAATTGATCTGCGAGACACTGGCAAATCACCCTATTTTGCGATAACCGAGTTCAATAATTGTTTTATCATTGGATCCTGACCAAGTTTGTTTTTTAACGAATATTTTCGGGAAGCGAAGCGATCTGCCATTTTTCACCCAAGAGTGACCGCAAGAAGGAGAAAAGCGTGGTATCGTTTACGCATGAGCAGAATGTTATTTGCAGCCAAATACAATCCCGACCCCAGTGCTTACGGCCAGACCAATACGGCTATATTACTCGCAAGAGCCAGGTGCTGAGGTACTCCTCTGCTCATGTCGTTCATGTACAAAGGGGACCATTGATCTGCTTGGCTTGGCTGTATGATTCTGTCATTATTAAATTGAGTTTAATTTTTTTTTCTTCAGTTACCTGTCTGGGAATCCAATACACTGCGACTGCAGTCTTGAATGGCTGCGATTGCTACTTGTGAAGAACGTGTTACATGCTGTACAGGATGGAGAACATATCAAATGTGCTTCACCGCTGCGTGCTGGAGACAAGGCTCTGATTTCTTTGTCTCACAATCAACTATGTGGTAAGCCAACGGAATTCCCTTCTTACAAAGTGTAACTTACACATTTTCAGTCTGATTACATTTGGGCAAGTTTTTATGGTCAAACGTAAAGTTCGAATTCACCACAAATGCGCTTACATGGAGGATAACAACTAAATAAATACTCGAAAAGCAGGGGTCAGTTAGAATTAATAAAACAGCATAATTAACTTCTGTTGCAGTGCACACTATTTTCAGAGAGTATGTCATTAAAATATTAATACATAGAACAAAGTATGGAAAGAAGAAATACCAACGTTTCAGTCTGTTGCTTCCGCACCTTTCGATGGGAAATTGGCCACGTAGTGTCCGGGGTCGCAGCTATCACATATTTCCTTGAATAAAACTAGGGGAGCGAGGCGTGGTGAAGACAACCTCGTCCCCAGGGCTTTTCCCTAACCCATTTTTTAAGGGAAAAGCCCTGGGGACGAGGTTGTGGTGAAGAGTCACTTGGAAGGTAAAAAGGAGAGAGGGGAATGTGACTTGGGATGAAGCATAAGGTAATCGGAAGGAATAAAGGAATATGTTGCAGCATATATTGACTCAGTATACTATTCCTGGTAACAGTCTTATTAATCAAAAATGTTCAAGAAACGTGATTTCTAAGTTTCGGGTGATCCAGTAGAAATCGAAGCTACCCTTCTGAGTAAACTTGGAGCAATTTTTATTGCTTTAATTTCCATGCTTCAGTCAATTTGTGAAATGATGTCTAAAGAAAGCCCCAAGTCTGTCTGCCTTATATTAACCCCTATCTTCTTCATAAAATTATCAAAACCTTCTGTATAAATACTGGGACATTCTGTTCTGAGCTAGACCTTTAACTGAGAAGGTTTTAATTCTTCATGATTCATGTTTCATTAGGTTCTGATGAAAATCGCCAGAAACATTCTCTCCAGAAAAGAAGTCCAGGTAAGTATGTATGCATGTTTTTCATCCCCGATCAGCCTGCGTCGAAAGCGTCGAAATGAGAGGCGAAAGGAGAACCCTCGTACCCTGCGCCTTCGTTCCCTTTGACCAGCGGTCGGCAAACGAGCTCCTCCCGCCAAGCCAGCATGCGCAGTAAGGGAGGAAGACTCGAGGTAGGAGATTAGGAAAGCGAGAGAAAAAGGGAGAAGGGATTGGGGAGAGACTACCTCTTCTTCCTCTCCCTTTTCCCTTTTCGCGCCGTTTTCTACCCCTCCCCTCCCCTTTTTTCGCGCCTGTCATCTAGGCTATTTGTAAGAATGTGCCAACTGAAAATTAGGGGAAACAAATTATAACGAACTAGGGGATTCTGCTCCGATTCTGCTACGATTCTACCAACTACCAAATGTAAGCTCCTCATAAGCATTTTTATTTTTTAGGGTAATTCCCTTGAAAAGGATGTACTAACCAGAATTTTTTCAAGCTTGTCGCAATCAACAGCCATATATAGGAGATTGAAAAAAATGCAATACAATGTAAAGATATGATGTCACTGTGCTTGTTTTCGCCCTGGGTGTCCGTTTATTTCAAGTGTTTTTTCCTAGTTGCGTACAATATGATTGAAACTTGAAACACCGCCAAAAATCAGTTCACATCATTTGCATGCAAAAATCATAAATCTAACTAAAAGCTAGAGCCCGCTTGTGTTTTTGGGGCTATAATTTTACAGAAAAGTGAGTTCAATTACCCGATCTTGCGAAAAAAAGGAAAACAAATTGAAAAAATGGTCATTTTTAACATTTTCTCGAGCTCATACTCCTCTGTGGTTCCAAATGCGGAATTTCGCGCCATTTACATAAAACTACAGATAACCCCGTTAACTCAAACTGTGAAGGGAAAAGAAAAACGATTCGAGTTAGTGAAGGTTTGAGGAAATCACCTAAAGATCCAGTCCCAGTTGTTCCAACGGATAAGTATTAGGGAAAACAGTAGAGACCTTTAAATTAGGTTTTTCATGGGAAACCGCAAACTGCAGTTTGCAGTTTCACGTCGCCAGGATTTCAAATTTTAGCGAGGCGTTCATTGTCAGGAGCCGATTACTCCTGTCATTGTTTAGTGCCGCCATGTTGTTTTTCGACAAGTCAAAGTGCATCACTTTTATCGCCCAAAAAACAGGGATAAGTCATTTATTCGAGTTCAAAAATCGAACAAGCACACCGAAGACGGATAAAGAAAGCTACTTCGTGCCTTTAAAAGTGAGGCTGTACAATTTTTACTGGCAAAAAACCTTGCCGTAAGTCACTTACCGCTGAACGCCCTTCCTGGCGTTCAAACGTGAACTGCAAACTGCGAATGGGATCGCAAGACGGTGGTCACGAGACATTCTCGTATTTGCGGTTTGCGGTTTTCCATCAAAAACCTGATACTAAAGGCCTCTAATGGCGCTATCCAGTGGAGAGAGATTTAGCCAGTGGATGGCGTTATCCACCTTAGGCCATCCCAATAAAATGTTTCGTTTCCCATCGCCCCGTCTCTTGTGATGGTGGGTCGGTTGGTCGGTCGGGCAAAAAAAAAAAATGAACACTTGAAAGGGTCTGGGTTCCAGAGAAGGCCGGGCTGCTAAGCAACAAAGCCTGGTTTACAAAGTCAACTCGAAAACGTCTTTTCGACTATCAAATGTCTAAACAGACTTTAAAAAACGTAGTATCGATGTTAATTAAAGACAAGGACGTCACATCATACCAATTGCTGTTAATAAAACAAGATCGTGTGCTTGTAAATTAAAGTACTTGCTTCTTTGACTAGTGAATCTGTTTTGTTTTTTTTGACTCTTCGAAAAAATGGGTCGGTCGGGCGATGGGAAACGAAATCTTTTATTGGGATGGCCTTATGAACCACTGGGTCTGGAAATTTTAGGTTTATCGCGAGAATTAAACTTCGGATTTACAAACTGCTGCAACAATGAGGGAATAATGACAAACATTTGAAACTGAGGCAGTCAACAGCACCAAGTCTTTTACGGCCAAATTCGTTGGATCGCCAGCGCGTTTTGCAATTCGAAAAAAAAGGGGTTTTCTGTTCCGTCAATCATTTAGAAGCCTTCTTAGGAAACGCATGTTTACTTTACGAGTTCAAAAGGTAATGATTTGTGATTTTCGATCCGTTTGGTTTGCTTCTGTGCTTTAAGGTTCGTTGTGATCGCCCTGTTTCGGGATATAATCGACTACTTTGCTTCGAAGATTTTTTTGATCTTTCTTGATCTTGTCACTTGCAAGAATAAAGAAATGTCTGCCTCCTTTCCTCGACAAAGATTCCACTGACCATCGCCATTTCCTCCGCCATTCTTTTTGTCAGTTATGTCTTGCGGGCCAAGCTGGGCGAGCGCGCTGCACTGTGATTTGCATTAACCCAGAAAAATGACTGACGGAAGGGAAAAACCCAACATTCCTTAATTCGAAGTTTACAAAACGCCCAGCGCGATACAAGGAATTTAGCAGTGATGCTACGTTTTGTTAAAATTTGACTTCTTTGCCATCATTTCTTCAGAAATAGACTTATGCGGAGGAGCGATCTGCCCAACGGAAATTAACTGCAAGAAAGGTTCTAAATGCAAATGCCCAACTGGATATTATTCATCCGAGAGGACTTTACAACGGAGGATATGCATAAACATTAATGAGTGTAAAATGGACAAAACAAAGTGCGATCCTAAGAAGAATAAAGGAATTAACGCAAAAACTCCGTGTAAAGACACACTGGGTTCGTATGAATGTGTCTGCAAACCGGGATATGAGCTAACACCTGACAAGAAAGACTGCAGAGGTAATTCATCACTACAGAAACTAGAGCCCGCTCAACACCATTTAAATCGTTGAGGTTTTTGGGATTCTCAGGCAGTTTGGCAGCCTATGAGAGTTTTTGATTAGTTTGATTGGTTGATGCCTTGGAAACCATCAACGAATCATACTTTTCAAGTAACGCTGACGGACATCCTGGGTACCAGAGGTTTTTTCTCGCGTGTGACGGGGAGCCTCGTTGACCACAGACCGAGGACAAGAGCGGCGAAGCTGCAAGAAAGAGCTTTCGCGTGGATCACTTTTTAAGACCTAATGGCCAAAACCGGAAATTGCGCATGAAAGGCTTCTGGCAACCACTGTAGGGAGGGGATATTAGGGCTTAAAGGGCTTAACTTACAACAACAAAGCCGCTGTAGAAGCTGTTACTCATTCGGAATTCAATAAAATTCATAGCTTTGGAGTCGTCATCGTATTGTTAAGAGGATGACACTTGTACTATGCAATATCTTTGCGTTTTCGTAGAAATGGACGAATGCAAAGACCCAGTGAAGAGCAAAGACTGTACTCTGAGTGGACAAAAATGTGTGAATACAATTGGAGGCTATGAGTGCAAATGTGATCCAGGTTTTAAGCATGATGCGATCCGCAAGAAATGCCTAGGTAAGACGTAGTTTTTGCAAATTTTTCTCCCCTTCTGATCCTCACCACCGCACTTACAGAGACTACAGTGCAGGCATAATAAACAAATAATTAAATAACTAAATAAGTAGCTAAATAAATATAGCAATCAAAAATGGATTTCATGGTAGCTCATCCTCACAGTTTTGGTCGTCTACCACTCCAGTGGAAGAGTTGCTTTTTAAGGAGACGGGTAAACCGGAATACCAGGAGAAAAACCTCTCGTATTAAGGGAGAGAACCAAATGACATCAAACTCAACCCACATATGGCGTCGACGCCGGCATTTGAACCCGGGCCACATTGGTGGGAGGCGAGAGCTCTCAACACTGCACCACCCTTGCTGCTTTACTGTGAACTGTAAATAGGCTGCGAGATCTCTCATTCGCTTGCCGAAAATCTGTGAGCGATATGCGATATGTGATTTTCGAGCAATAGAGAGACTACCCGCAGTCTAAACTGTAAAGAGCACTGAGATAAACTGTGCATTAAAGCAATCGATCAAGAATGTTGGAGGTACCTGTATTTTGGAACCGGCAGCTTAGTACACAAGAAATGTTAAGACACGCGTTTTTGCTGAGTGCGATTGTCAAAAGTAAAAACTTGCCGACAAGTTGAAAATGAATAGGGTTTTCTTAATAGTTTTCAACCTGTCATTTATAACATGAGTTAATTCACTGATCTGACTAAGCAGATCCGGTAAACAGTGAAATTCTCTTTACGAATGGACTGATCATGGCAAGCCAGTAATAATGCCGAACTCCCTAAAATGCACTTGCTCACTACAAAAGCCACAGGGACAACCGCAACCTTTTTTCATCCAGACTGAAAAACTCATGCGAAGTAAACTTCTTACAACGAAAATTTGTTAAATTTTCAGGGGTAAACTTTCTTCAAGTGCACTGCCAGGAAGCTCAATATGTATTTTTTCGCTTTTTAGCCTCCTCCCGACTAACCAACATTTTTTCTATTCATAATATAACCTGACATAACATACCATGCAATGGTTCGGTGTGGAAAGGTCTTCAAGAATCGTTTGAATGTACATGTTTCATTGTCGTTGTTTGAATACACGTCTGATTCTTGTTGCAGATGTTAATGAGTGCAAAATCAGAAAACATAACTGCTCTCATCACAGTTACTGTCAGAACACCCATGGAGGATTCAAATGTGTATGTCCAAAAAACTATGAGCTCAGCGGAACAAGCTGTATCCCAAATGACATCACACGCTGGACTACTCCCAAGTACTTGTTACAGGATATAATGGACGGCGTATGGACTCGATTAGTTGCTGCCGGCGCCGCAGGGATCATAGTCCTGTCCTTGTTTGTTATTGTTGTCTTGAGCTGTAGAAAAATGTGCAGGAAATGTGCCGAGAGAAAGGAGCTAAAACGGCTTGCATACGAAGGTATGAAAATGGTGGTCAACGCCGAGCCTCTCTATGGGTATTTCCGACGAACTGCGTCGATCGAAATTGCGACGATCGCTATCAACGAAACGACGATCTTGAGGTTAAAGCGACGATCGCATTGCCGTTCTGATCAAGTTTAACAATTTAAGTTGTCCGATGAAAACAAAGCTAAAAGAATCTGCCGAAAAGTATGCTGCACGTTCACAGTTGCTTTGCTCTTTGATGTTGCTGCTTTTTTGTTTTCTCGTTTCCGTTTTGGTAGCTCGAGCTCGTTAGAAGCTTTAGGTACCTTGTAAAGCAATTCTCGATGTGCGACGATTTCGGTGAAAATCCGACGATTTGATGGAAAACACGCGACGAAATCGACGTCCTTAGGTACCCAATGAGAGGCTCAGCATCTATTACCAGCACTTTGTTGGACTCAGTCTTAACTGTGGAAGGGCGTTTGCTCTAAAAGGTTCTAAAAGTCAGCCTGTAAAACTTCTTACGCTGTCATCTTGGTTGAGACAATCCAATCATCAAATTCCACTATACTCGTGCCAACAGGAGTACTATAGTCTGTGGAGAACGTGCCTCTTTACTTGTTAGTGGTAATTAGCAGTCGAAATATATTATACAGTAAAAACCCGCCACTAAGAAAGCATTTTCTCAAGTTGGCCTCAACAGGTCTTGACATAAATGGTAATTAGCAGAAATTTAAGATATGTAGGTTCTTAAATGGGCTAACATTTTCCGAAGATAAAATATATTGTAGCTAAGAAATTTGAAGTGATATTCAGCTTATTGCTTACAAAAAAACTGCACATTGCAGTTGGAGTTATACGAAACCTACGTCTCCAAGAGGATCCTGAATGTAGACTTACCTTATTTGCCCAAGAGTACAGAATTTTTTTAATATGGAGTTTAGAAAATAAGAACGTGTTTCAAATTTTAGGCTAAACAGGTCCTTGTATCTGAGGGAACCTAACTGGTTCAAATATTTTAGCCTAACAGGTTCTTAAAAATCAAGTTCTTAGTCGCAGTTTTTACTGTATTCAACGGTATCAAAGGACAGTGCTGGTCAGTAGCGCTAACTTAAATGGTCACTTGCGCACATTAAATCTTTACTCAGTTTTCATTTGGACAGTGACGAAGTCAGATCTTTCTCTTTGCAGAACAATTGATGTTTGCCGCTGGAATGTACGATCCTGATGCAATGTTCTTTGCTGAGGGAGAAATGGGTTACCCAGCTGACGAGATATTTTACCCTGAGGAGATGGGTTATCTCCCAGAGGGAATGGAATATGTCCCTGAAGGAATGGGATTTCCTCCCGAGGGAATGGGATTTCTCCCCGACGGAATGGGATATGCCATGGATAATATGGGTTACACTGAGGACATGGTCTATGCTGATGAGATGGGCTACAACAATGAGATGGGATACCCCGAGGAAATCTACGGGACCACCCCGACAGGCCCCATGGCGACAGGGGAAAATTTTGACCATGAGGTGCCACATACTTATTACGAGGACGACGATGAAAATTCAGAAGGGGAGGGTCAGGTTGCCCCCTGACCTGATCTGCGCTGACGGAACTTATTCCTGAAACTGTAAAAGTTTGCTCTACGAATATCTTTTGTCTCATGACTACAAGTTTCTGCTTTTCCTTTTCAGTCATTGTGAAACCAAAACCCAGATTGTGTCCCTAAATCTACAAAATGAAGTAGATTTCATTTGATTCTTTATAACTTACTTTTCTGAAAAATGATTCGAGTTGCTCAAAGAACGTCGTTCTCCTGATGACTTAACACTAAAAAAACTAATATGGTACAACAGTTCGTAATAGTTTTTCCTTTTGCTTTCTAAGGCGTTAATTAGAGACAAAAAAACAAGAAACTACGAAAATAAAGTTGACGTCATGTGAGGTGGACCACTTTTTTTAAGGTCTCTTAAAGAAGGGAGAAATTCCCCTTGATACACATAAGGGGAAGAAGTTACCACTGAGTCTTAGTTCAACGAAGGAGAATTGACCGGCTTCCTATTTAACATTGAAACAGTGCAATAATTTAAAAGCTGACAAAATTAAGAAAGATGGTAGATCTTAAGCTCGGTGAAGACATAAGAAATGATATAATCAGCATGTTACGAGTAAGGGACAAAGAAAAAAATCTGAGTCCCCGACAGGAATTAAACTTATGACCTTCCGTAAACCGGCAGCTATAAACAAGTTTTGATTCAGCTTTAAAGGATAATTTGGACAGAAAAAGGTTATCTTCTAGATGTGTTTACGATAGGGCCGTAAATGCTCGAATTAGCACCCTTCAAATAAGCGCCCTCCTCAACGCCCCGGTATACAGGGCGTCTATCTTTTCCCGGGATAACAGGCGATCTACCCGTATTCACATTTACAGGTTAGGGTCTTGATCGGGTCTCGATTAAATAACCACCGGGCGCTCATTCGAGCATTCATGACACGACTCACAATGTGTAAACAAATTCCCAACTTATACGGATGTTTGTGTCGGTTGTACTCATGGCGAGAAATCACACGCAGCAACCGCCGCATGGTTAGCTCAGCTGGGAGACAGCCACTCTGCTGAAACCCTGGCCGAACACAGGGACTAATTAAATGAGGAGAATGTGCTGCCTTTACAATGACACCCGCAAACGGCTTGACTTTCTAGTCTTCACGGATAAGAACGAAAACTGTAGGTTCCGTCNGGGACAAAGAAAAAAATCTGAGTCCCCGACAGGAATTAAACTTATGACCTTCCGTAAACCGGCAGCTATAAACAAGTTTTGATTCAGCTTTAAAGGATAATTTGGACAGAAAAAGGTTATCTTCTAGATGTGTTTACGATAGGGCCGTAAATGCTCGAATTAGCACCCTTCAAATAAGCGCCCTCCTCAACGCCCCGGTATACAGGGCGTCTATCTTTTCCCGGGATAACAGGCGATCTACCCGTATTCACATTTACAGGTTAGGGTCTTGATCGGGTCTCGATTAAATAACCACCGGGCGCTCATTCGAGCATTCATGACACGACTCACAATGTGTAAACAAATTCCCAACTTATACGGATGTTAGTGTCGGTTGTACTCATGGCGAGAAATCACACGCAGCAACCGCCGCATGGTTAGCTCAGCTGGGAGACAGCCACTCTGCTGAAACCCTGGCCGAACACAGGGACTAATTAAATGAGGAGAATGTGCTGCCTTTACAATGACACCCGCAAACGGCTTGACTTTCTAGTCTTCACGGATAAGAACGAAAACTGTAGGTCCCGTCTCACAGTACTTTGATATTCACTTATCTGGTTCTTGTTGGACGTAAAGGAACCCACACCACTGTTCAAAAAGAGTAGGGGACGTAGAACCCGGTGGTTTGACCAGCCTCTCCTGGCCCGGGTGGGTTATCTGTAAGGACACACTTAAACCGGAGCTCCGCTCTGTTGTGTGTTCCGCACCATATGGTGGAAGAGGTTGAATAAATAGATAGATAAATAAATAAATAGATAAATAACTGTATGACCTAATTTGCTCGTAATATTTACTCTAAACACAGCATGATCAAACAAATGTGGAGGAAAAATATTTATTTTTCAGCTTTCTTTTCTTCATAACATTCCCATCTCTCCAACTGGTGCATAGAGATGAAGAAATGACAAGATCACAACGACAAGATTCACAAAGGGAATCATGTGTTATCATACCAAAATATTTAGCATAATTTCTTAACAAATGAACAATACGAAACGAATCTGTACAGTTAACAAACTCTTCACATAACAGGTTCAAGCTCTCATCACTTTTGGGCTGCATGACAAAACGTTTCACACATAGCTTCAACTTATAGCTAAGGCCTGGTTTTCATGAAGGTACGGTTAAACCAGAAAAACAAAAATGTGCAACTTGTTTGGCATCGTTGCTGCAAAACGAGTTGAATAGCTAACACCACCCACGAATCAAACCCGTCTTGCAACAAATAAGGTTGTTGCAGAAATTAGAGAGTAGTTCCACGTTTTGCAACAAAATCTCTACATGTTGCGCGTTTTACCAGCGCTTTGCAGCAAGTGACGTAACTCCCGTATATGGCGCGACTCTCGCGTAATTTTATCCAATCAGAAGTCAGTATTCACGCAACTTACAACAACCTGATTTGTTGCATGATAGGTTTGAACTAGCTTTTTACCTCATTTTGCAGTAATGTTACAAACAAGTGGTACGTTTTTGTAGCCCGTTTTACCGTAGCTTAATTTTAATTGTCTTCACCTTCCAGGTCATCGCAAAACGCGTCTCAGATGATTGAGACAATCACATGAAGACACCTCTGATTTAAAGCACCATGATCTGGTTAATCGCGGATTTTTAATCAGCTGAATAGCACTTGAATTTATCTGTACGCTGGTATTAATGTCATAACCGGATCATCTTGATCATTCCCCCAAAAACAAGGTGTTGCAGATGATTGCAACGATTATGTGCGAACCACATCTAACTGTAGCATGGCCTAACTTCCGTGTATCTTAAACAAACGTAAGGTTCTTTTATGTCTAATATAACATTTCTATATCAGCTTTTACTTCTACTTTTGAATGTAAGTGATAAAATGGTGGATCTTACATCCAAATCACACCTAATGAGAGAGGAACTGTCAAGTAAAGTTTGCGAAATATAAAGTTCACTAAGTTCGCAAAATTAAGTTAACTTTTGTGAACAAAGACTATCTAAAATCAACAAAGGATAGCTAAGAAATGGCGAAGGAATATAAAATGGGCATCAAATATTTTCAAGGATGCTCAATTCAAAATACTTCCTTACCCTGCTCCAATTTGGTCTCTCGACTTTTTCTTTCTCTGACTAGTTCTTATGTAATTTTTTATCGTCTTTATACGAGTAGCCTCTTTGAAAAGTTAAAAATTTTGAAAATCATGAAATTTACTGGAGGAAAATCAAAATAAACCACTTGTCACAGAAAGTGATAACAGTGGTGTCATCCTGTTGCATTTATCATTTACAGACAAATAGAACTTAAATCGGTGTTCAGAATCTAATGGATAACAATTACATGTAACTTCACATTATGAAACCAAAACTTGCCATCTCAGAGTTTTATGCAAAGAGATTGACCATCACTTGAAATTCAATTCCAAATTTTCTTCAAGTTTTCAAAGATCTCTACTTTCGTATATTAATTTCCTAGCCAACCTTAACTCCTAACTTCTCTAGAACCTTTATTCCTTTCTCTTGATATTCCTCTCTCGTCATCCAGAATCCCTCCTTGTCTTTCATNAGTTTGCGAAATATAAAGTTCACTAAGTTCGCAAAATTAAGTTAACTTTTGTGAACAAAGACTATCTAAAATCAACAAAGGATAGCTAAGAAATGGCGAAGGAATATAAAATGGGCATCAAATATTTTCAAGGATGCTCAATTCAAAATACTTCCTTACCCTGCTCCAATTTGGTCTCTCGACTTTTTCTTTCTCTGACTAGTTCTTATGTAATTTTTTATCGTCTTTATACGAGTAGCCTCTTTGAAAAGTTAAAAATTTTGAAAATCATGAAATTTACTGGAGGAAAATCAAAATAAACCACTTGTCACAGAAAGTGATAACAGTGGTGTCATCCTGTTGCATTTATCATTTACAGACAAATAGAACTTAAATCGGTGTTCAGAATCTAATGGATAACAATTACATGTAACTTCACATTATGAAACCAAAACTTGCCATCTCAGAGTTTTATGCAAAGAGATTGACCATCACTTGAAATTCAATTCCAAATTTTCTTCAAGTTTTCAAAGATCTCTACTTTCGTATATTAATTTCCTAGCCAACCTTAACTCCTAACTTCTCTAGAACCTTTATTCCTTTCTCTTGATATTCCTCTCTCGTCATCCAGAATCCCTCCTTGTCTTTCATAATGTCTGCCAGAACAGCCCCTCCCAAAAAGACCATGTGTTTTCTCCTGGGTGGATCTTCAATACGGATTTTAAATTTCTGCAAGGAAATTAAATGTTAAGTTCTATAAGGTGAAAGTTTGAGACAATCCTTTTGGAGGTCAAATGGATGGTTTACATATTACACACTAGCTACAAAAAGCTGGGAATGAAACTCCCCTGTAACAATGAACCTCTAAAAGAGTAACTGTCAAATTTCTTCCCACAGTATTAGGAGATAATCAAGGAAAGAAGACATGAGATTCAAGGCAATGATGCCCCCAAAATCTATTGTATTTTTTTTTTGGCATCTTCTCTCAACTTACACCATAAACAAATTATGGAGCTCAGTTAGAAAAATTCGTGTTTTGATATTGGGGTTTATAAAGGGTTAAGAGGCTGATAACTTACCGACAACTTAGTGGTATCTCCCTTGAGTACACGTTCAAGATACAACTGTTTAATTTCCCTCTCTAGTCTGCTCGGCAACCCAGGATACATAGTACTGCCACCTGACAGTACAATATGCTTGTAAAACTCTGCTCTTGTATCAATGTCTGCTGCCTGGATGGTGTTGAAGAGAAGCTCAGCCACACCAACACCCTCAATGTTGATTAGATGGGGTTGGAAAAGGGCTTCAGGTGCTTCAAATCGCTCTCCACTCAGTTTCACTATCCGGCCATCAGGGAGCTAAAGATGAAATCGCAGGCATGAGAGTGAAAATGAATCACTGACCAGTTTTGTGTTAACACCTTGTAGCACTACTAATGACATAATTATTAACAACAACAAAATGGGCTGCAGGGGTTTCAATAAAACTTAAAATAGACAGCTCGTTTAGGTAGAGTACCAAACAGTATCAACAAGGTTTGAAATAATATTTCTTTAAAAATAATATTACTATTATTTTGCCTTTGGGGAAAAAAGTAGCCACCTTCGCTGAGAAAAGAAGACAACAATTTCCCTGGCTGACAGGACTTGGTGCAAGAAAAAAAAAAATTCTTTCTGGCTCTTCAGCTTCAAATATTCACTGAGGATGCTTTAAGTGAACAGCACTCATTCACTTTTCCCAGTTTTGCTTACATAATTACAAAAAAGTAACAACGGTTATTATTTTTTTATCATAACACAATGAAGTAATTCCTTACTGTGTACTGTTCCACAAGAACTGTTGTCTCCAAAGCAAGTTTCTGTTCCTGTTCTATGTTGTATCTAAGAATGCAAACCAAACAACATACCTTATGTAACAACAAGTCTAATTGAAAGGCCAGTGAGTTTTGTCCAACATTTTTTATTATGCACTTTGAGTGTCAATGTATTTAGCACAAAAGTACTAATTGGAGACACTATTTTTGTGTCTCCTACTGGAGATGGCACCACCATTCTACAAGGTCATCTTACCCACACAAAGGTCTAGTCTTTTGCAGGGCAAAGGCTTCCAGTTATTTTCTGATTAGTGGTCTGGTCTTGAAAATCGAACCCACTATCAACAGTCAAGCACTCTACTGACTGAGCTAATCCTGCTATGGTTCAATCGAGTGACTTGCTATTTCTAAAACCAATATGCGAAAAAATTTGAAGAAAAAAAAATACTGAAAGTAAAATACATGTAAGAATTTCAAAATTAGTTAGCATGCAGAGTAGAAAGTGTAAGGGAGGGGCCATCTTGCTATCTGGTTATGCTATAAACATGGTGTTCTAAGACACAAATCCTTACAATTTTATTTTTTCCTCACAGTTCTACTTTACAGCTTTTATACAGAACAATCTACAGGGGAGAGATTAATGTACAGGTGTATGATAGTTTAATGGCATAATAGTTTTATAAAATATTAATTACGCCCTTTATTTAAAAATGATCTAATTTAATATAACATTAACAGTACAAATGCAGTTTGTTAGGACAAATACAACATTCTAATGGTTCAAATCATTCCTGCAGAAGAGCTTACCCAACATAACAGAGCTTCTCTTTCATCATGCGAACAGTTTCAAAATCAGCTGTATGGTTAAATGCATATCCTCTCAGCAGAAGGAGCTTAAAATCCATAAAAAAATTTGTCATTAGTCACCATCATCTCAGAAAATTTTTATGTTGTTTATTGACACGTATTGTAGTTTTTCAAGCTTTAGGAGCAGATCCATTTGGCAAGTCTTGAAACCAGAACTAAACTGATAGCACAAGACCACATTTACTACTGCATGATATCCTCAACAGACTGCTGTGGATAGCATTACCTTAATGAGGTACTTGGTGATATCACGACCAGCGATGTCAAGTCTCCGAGTGAGGTGAGGAAGAGCAAAGCCTTCGTATACAGGACAGATATGGGTCACTCCATCCCCTGAGTCTATTACAACACCTGTTAACAATCCTAAGAAAAAAAACAGAAAGATCACAGTTGACTCTCTCTTAACAGGCACCTCTACAATACAGACATCTCAGTAAAACTGACACGCATAGAGTTGGTTCCTGCCTTTCTTTACTCCCTTTATTTGGGCCTCTTGTAAAAAAGACATTCATCTTAGACAGACACATAGTACCGGTCCTAAAGGTGTCTGTCTTAGAGACAATAGACTGTACTGCACCAATAAACGCAAACACCTTTTACTCTTTATTGATCTCTGTAAGAATTCTACAACTCTTTCCTAGAGGAGCATATCAAGAGTTTTATGGTGTTCTTTTGCTAATGACACTTCACGACACTCACTCTACTGACCTTGGGCATAAAGAGTTAATACGGCTTGGATGGCAATGTATACTCCATCAAACTGATAGTTTTCAAACATAACCTGCAACAATAAAGGAAAGAATTTCAGGAAACAAACCGGAATTCTGAAAGATTTTTAACCTCCAGAGTAAAATCTAGTACCTTAGATGTATAATTAACAATTACTATTGAATGAGGCTGAGTATCATCTGAAGAATTATGGAGATTGAGGAGGGTGTTATACTGATAACACCCCCCAAGAACTCCATAATTCTTCAGATGATATGAAAGCCGACTTCAATAATATTGTTTTATTATTCATTCAAAATAATTCCTAGTTTCGAAACAAGCTAAAATATTCTTACCCCCATAATGTTGAAGTTCATCTTCGATAGTGCCGTTAATTGACAAGTTTAGGAGATAAGGGGTTGTTCAGCTCTGCAAATATTCTCTAAATAGCAGATGCCGTCCTTCAAGTTGTCTTCTTGTTCTTGCTATGTTTTTAGCCACTATTTCGCCTATTTCTTGCAGGTGAAACAAGTGAAAAGTCCACCATTTTTGTTCTCACTACCAAAACAACTCAACCTCATCCCCAGGTCTTATCGATTATTGGTTCAATAATCTGCAACTCTGCTTCACTTTTGACATTGACCATCAGTTCAAAATAGCAAAATTCTTCAGATTTGGTTGACAGTAGCTGGTTATGATGAATTATGTGTGTGATTTTAGACCATCAGAAACAGAGAAACATTTCATGATATTTTGAATGAATAATAATTAACAATTATTATTCTATGACTGCACGTTGGATATGAGATGGCAGATAGCCAGCAAGTGTCGTAGCGCCGAGTTGGCTATAATCATCTAATATCCCACAAGCATGAGTGGAATAATAATTGTTTTATAACAGCCGCCCATAAAATATTGAGAATTCTTCCTGACTTTATTTGTAGAAACAACCAATTTTCAGCTTGTTTTTAATTTTGAACAGATGCGTAGAGTTACCATATTTGGAGAGCATGGTATAATGCCTTTTAGTATATACACACTCAGTGATCTTGGTGATTCAAGCAATCTGATTGGTTCGCTATCTCGGACTATTCAACAATATTCACTTCATAGCGAGTGGATAATGTGTGAGCTCAGTGTTTTTCCCATCTTTNATTTGGTCTCTAAATTTGGTAGAATGTCAACAAACTACTGTTTCAAATCTTTTTATCAATAAAGAAATATCATTTTAATGGTTCATTTGAAAATGAACTAAAAGAGAAATTACTTGCACGTTATACAGTAGAATTCTTTCCGATTCAAAGTAATATTTTTGTTTTTTGATAACAGAAACCAGGTTAGTGCTGATCTTTAAGCAAAGGATAGTCACGCGCAAAGTTATTTATAGATTTGAACGTGGGAACTTTTCAAAAATGCAAAAATGTTCACGCATGTGCACTCCGAGATTGTCTAGGCGTCTCCCGGCCTTTCGTCTCGGATACGTCACCAAAATGCATTGACCGAGAGGGCTTGGAAAGACACCATATAGGGACTAGGCAAACTCAGACTTTCACCTTGTCCCACTGACCTGATGCAAACATGGCCATTCGTCTTACTATAATATTCTTTAGTTGGTATTAGCATTACTATTAAACTTCATCCTCAAGATCAAAATTCACAAGCACAACTGACTTTAGCAAAGCCTGTTTTAATTTAAACACAAGATCTCAATCTAGTGGCCCTTTTTGCACTTGGTCTTCATGTATTCTCATGACCTAATGAAGACAACATCTTTGCCACATTTTTTTCTGTCACAGCTTACTGTATTATTCTTGTGGTTTGCTAGTCTATATTTCGTGACCCCCCAATGGTCTCCCCATCAGATGATGGTTGAAGAATAAGTGCAGATATTCTATACTGGTGACATTTTCAAATGATCTCCTATATGACAGAGTTAAGGCATTTTGTTGAGACAAGATCAGTTAAGGTGTTCTTTTGCTAATGCCACTTCACAACACTCACTCTACTGACCTTGCGCATAAAGAGTTAATACGGCTTGGATGGCAATGTATACTCCATCAAACTGATAGTTTTCAAACATAACCTGCAACAATAAAAGAAAGGATTTCAGGAAACAAACCGGAATTTTGAAAGAGTTTTAACCTCCAGAGTAAAATCTAGTACCTTAGATGTATAATTAACAATTACTATTGAATGAGGCTGAGTATCATCTGAAGAATTATGGAGATCGAGTAGGGTGTTATACTGATAACACCCCCAGAGATCTCCATAATTCTTCAGATGATATCATAGCCGACTTCAATAATTGTTTTATTATTCATTCAAAATAATTCCTAGTTTCGAAACAAGCTAAAATATTCTTACCCCCATAATGTTGAAGTTCATCTTCGATAGTGCCGTTAATTGACAAGTTTAGGAGATAAAGGGTTGTTCAGCTCTGCAAATATTCTCTAAATAGCAGATGCCGTCCTTCAAGTTGTCTTGTTGTTCCTGCTATGTTTTTAGCCAATATTTTGCCTATTTCTTGCAGGTGAAACAAGTGAAAAGTCCACCATTTTTGTTCTCACTACCAAAACAACTCAACCTCATCCCCAGGTCTTATCGATTATTGGTTCAATAATCTGCGACTCTGCTTCACTTTTGACGTTGACCATCAGTTCAATATGGCAAAATTCTTCCAATTTGGTTGACAGTAGCTGGTTATGATGAATTATGTGTGTGATTTAAGCCCATCAGAAACAGAGAAATATTTTGAATGAATAATAATTAACAATTATTATTCTATGACTGCACATTGGATATGAGATGGTAGATAGCCAGCGAGGCTCGTAACGCCGAGTTGGCTATAATCATCTAATATCCCACAAGCATGAGTGGAATAATAATTGTTTTATTACAACCGCCCATAAAATATTGAGAATTCTTCCCGACTTTTTTTTGTAGAAACAACCAATTTTCAGCTTGTTTTTAATTTTGAACAGATGCGTAGAGTTACCATATTTGGAGAGCATGGTATAATGCCTTAAAGGTATACCATGATGGCTAAGCCAATCAGAGCTCTAGAATTACATTATCCAATGATTCAGTTTTTAATAATACACCATATCTAAGACCGTTTTTCCTGCCACTTCTCTCTTCGTTCTCAGTAAACAAGGGGATTTGACCCCTGGAGCATGTTCCTGATTCCATACAGACTGTGGGTGATAACCTCAACAGTAACTACAGTATTCAGGCAGTTCATCATTAAGTGTTCACTGAAAGCACACTAAAGTACACTCCTGCATACCAGTAATGAAACTCTGGTATAAACAGATGACATTCCTCTCCACAGTTAGAAAAAAACGTTTGGAGCAGGACCCAGAAATAATATACCCCTGAAAAAGGAGGAGGCAACATATCCAAGTGGTTAGAGCTTTGGAAAAATAATTCGGAGGCCCTAAGTTCAAGTCCTGCCCTGCCTGCTAGCTAGTTTTTGTTCTCGGTAGCCCAAGTTCAAATCTTTGGCCACGCTTGTAAAATATACCCCTTACCAGTTGGGATTTTAAACCATTATATTATTTTCTATTATTTGTTACATTATCCCTTAAAAGCCCCATAAGAAGAGAGAATAATTAAAGTATTATTATCATTATTATTACAACAAAAACTTTTTCACATCCCTTGGAATTCTTTTATATTGGGGTCCCCTGTTCAGCATAGATGTATATTGGAAGTTTACGAGCTCTAAGTACCCAACCCTTCCTGTCATTTTAAAAGCAAATTGCTATGTAGTTTAGTTTAAAAACTATAAGGGTAGCCACTCATGGCTCTCGATTTTCCATCTGATTTAAAATAAATGAACTAGCAGTTTGAAGCACAACGACCCTTAAACTGGTTAAGGTTAAATTGCTGAAACATAAGGAGACCAAACTTCACTCTTGTACCTCAATCATTTTCTCTCTGTTCTTCAAGGGATTCATCGGTGGCTCAGTGAGCAAAACCTAGATTTTACAAAGGACAGTTCAACGTGAGAAACATGAAGGTTTTCAGATGGTCTGGAAAGGTCGTTAAGTAGTTAAGATGAAGAGTTATAAGGCATTTCCGGAATGACAGTAAATTTGACTCACTTTACAATTCCTTGTATCTACGTTAAGCTTTGTCTCTCCAAACGTGTAGTCCCATACATGTTTCATGTCGTCCCAATTTCGAACAATTCCATTATCCATGGGATAATTCACTTCCAACATGTGCCGAAGTTTGCTTGCTTCATCGCCGACCATCAAATCCTGCAGAACGAAACAACTGGTTGACATAATTTTTGAAGATATAGTGTTACAGCAGGGCTTCAGGCTGTTAAAAGAGAGACTGTAGTATGCAAGACACAGCACAAACCTTCACTTCAATATCTCCAACTTTCGCCGTCGATCTAATAATAGGTCTTCCCACCATCGAAGGAAAGATGTGAGCTGGGAAGTTCGAGCCTGCATATCCGCACTTGACAAACTGGAAGCAACAACAAAAAGAAAGATCAATTTATAGAAAGCGCTTTCCAAGATGTAATAGCCAGATCTGCTCACCCCTGTTCCGTTGTCGCAGACGATTACTTTATTTCCTTTGGAATCCATCGCTATGCTCTTCCCACCGACCACTGTTGCCGAAACAAAATGGCCGCTGCTAACTTCCTCAACGCCTTGTCACGTGACAGAATTTTGTTTCCGACACCTCCCCCTTGCTGTGTCAAGTACGCAAAAAGGGTCCGAAAAGAGACTGTATCAGAGTGCTTTCAGACAATGGCTGGTTGATGTGGACAGAAGTGATGAAAAAATTGTTTGAACTAAAAATTCCACAGCCAAGGAGTCATACAAGATCTACCAGAGGCGACCAATTTGATGACGGGGGTCTGAGGACCGGTACTCCCCAGCCTATTTCTTGCAGGTGAAACAAGTGAAAAGTCCACCATTTTTGTTCTCACTACCAAAACAACTCAACCTCATCCCCAGGTCTTATCGATTATTGGTTCAATAATCTGCGACTCTGCTTCACTTTTGACGTTGACCATCAGTTCAATATGGCAAAATTCTTCCAATTTGGTTGACAGTAGCTGGTTATGATGAATTATGTGTGTGATTTAAGCCCATCAGAAACAGAGAAATATTTTGAATGAATAATAATTAACAATTATTATTCTATGACTGCACATTGGATATGAGATGGTAGATAGCCAGCGAGGCTCGTAACGCCGAGTTGGCTATAATCATCTAATATCCCACAAGCATGAGTGGAATAATAATTGTTTTATTACAACCGCCCATAAAATATTGAGAATTCTTCCCGACTTTTTTTTGTAGAAACAACCAATTTTCAGCTTGTTTTTAATTTTGAACAGATGCGTAGAGTTACCATATTTGGAGAGCATGGTATAATGCCTTAAAGGTATACCATGATGGCTAAGCCAATCAGAGCTCTAGAATTACATTATCCAATGATTCAGTTTTTAATAATACACCATATCTAAGACCGTTTTTCCTGCCACTTCTCTCTTCGTTCTCAGTAAACAAGGGGATTTGACCCCTGGAGCATGTTCCTGATTCCATACAGACTGTGGGTGATAACCTCAACAGTAACTACAGTATTCAGGCAGTTCATCATTAAGTGTTCACTGAAAGCACACTAAAGTACACTCCTGCATACCAGTAATGAAACTCTGGTATAAACAGATGACATTCCTCTCCACAGTTAGAAAAAAACGTTTGGAGCAGGACCCAGAAATAATATACCCCTGAAAAAGGAGGAGGCAACATATCCAAGTGGTTAGAGCTTTGGAAAAATAATTCGGAGGCCCTAAGTTCAAGTCCTGCCCTGCCTGCTAGCTAGTTTTTGTTCTCGGTAGCCCAAGTTCAAATCTTTGGCCACGCTTGTAAAATATACCCCTTACCAGTTGGGATTTTAAACCATTATATTATTTTCTATTATTTGTTACATTATCCCTTAAAAGCCCCATAAGAAGAGAGAATAATTAAAGTATTATTATCATTATTATTACAACAAAAACTTTTTCACATCCCTTGGAATTCTTTTATATTGGGGTCCCCTGTTCAGCATAGATGTATATTGGAAGTTTACGAGCTCTAAGTACCCAACCCTTCCTGTCATTTTAAAAGCAAATTGCTATGTAGTTTAGTTTAAAAACTATAAGGGTAGCCACTCATGGCTCTCGATTTTCCATCTGATTTAAAATAAATGAACTAGCAGTTTGAAGCACAACGACCCTTAAACTGGTTAAGGTTAAATTGCTGAAACATAAGGAGACCAAACTTCACTCTTGTACCTCAATCATTTTCTCTCTGTTCTTCAAGGGATTCATCGGTGGCTCAGTGAGCAAAACCTAGATTTTACAAAGGACAGTTCAACGTGAGAAACATGAAGGTTTTCAGATGTTCTGGAAAGGTCGTTAAGTAGTTAAGATGAAGAGTTATAAGGCATTTCCGGAATGACAGTAAATTTGACTCACTTTACAATTCCTTGTATCTACGTTAAGCTTTGTCTCTCCAAACGTGTAGTCCCATACATGTTTCATGTCGTCCCAATTTCGAACAATTCCATTATCCATGGGATAATTCACTTCCAACATGTGCCGAAGTTTGCTTGCTTCATCGCCGACCATCAAATCCTGCAGAACGAAACAACTGGTTGACATAATTTTTGAAGATATAGTGTTACAGCAGGGCTTCAGGCTGTTAAAAGAGAGACTGTAGTATGCAAGACACAGCACAAACCTTCACTTCAATATCTCCAACTTTCGCCGTCGATCTAATAATAGGTCTTCCCACCATCGAAGGAAAGATGTGAGCTGGGAAGTTCGAGCCTGCATATCCGCACTTGACAAACTGGAAGCAACAACAAAAAGAAAGATCAATTTATAGAAAGCGCTTTCCAAGATGTAATAGCCAGATCTGCTCACCCCTGTTCCGTTGTCGCAGACGATTACTTTATTTCCTTTGGAATCCATCGCTATGCTCTTCCCACCGACCACTGTTGCCGAAACAAAATGGCCGCTGCTAACTTCCTCAACGCCTTGTCACGTGACAGAATTTTGTTTCCGACACCTCCCCCTTGCTGTGTCAAGTACGCAAAAAGGGTCCGAAAAGAGACTGTATCAGAGTGCTTTCAGACAATGGCTGGTTGATGTGGACAGAAGTGATGAAAAAATTGTTTGAACTAAAAATTCCACAGCCAAGGAGTCATACAAGATCTACCAGAGGCGACCAATTTGATGACGGGGGTCTGAGGACCGGTACTCCCCGCGGAGCCTGCATCTTTCGTGCCAGGGCTTAGAGCGATTTTTTCCCCACAGAAAACTCATACATTCAGGACTTCCCCTTAAATCTTAAATCTGCCCCTGTCTTATGTCCAGTCAACTCAAAAATCCTGAATAATGGGATTTCTAGTCACAGGCACAGTAAGATGGTTAAAATTGTGTCATCGAAAACAAGAGTCTAAAGGAGAAGAAAGGTTTGTGTCTAACCCTTCAGGCCTGCTAACCCGTTATAGGTCCTAAGAGTGATCACCATCAAATTTCTCCTTGTAATATCAATGCTTTGTAAAACAGTGGTCATGAAAATTACGGCTCCCGACATGATCACAAGAGAAGAATTTGCTTGATATTTTATCAACTTTCCCCCATTACTTCTGTAGGAAATAAATAGGGGCTAACAATGAGAATTCAAATTTTGATCTTAGGGTTTAAAGGGTTAATCTATTCTACTCCAACTGCTCAGTGAGATGTTGAAAACATCCCGTATGTCCCTCTCCCTCTGCCTTTTCGGTCTTCCTCTTTCTCTTTTCCCATCAATCTTTCCCTCCCTGTAATACTTCCCAAGCCTCAACTTCTTTTCAAATGGCCAAAGCAGTTTATAACAAAGGGTGGTCTTTGGTCCTTGGAATTTTGCTGCCAACATTATCTTCTTCAGGGCACACCAATTCAGGGAGAAAATGAAGAGTAAACCCTTACACCCTTAGAACAATAAAAATATTATTATTACGAACACATCTTGGGTAGTTCTCAGCCTCGTTTCTAGTCTTTGATTTTCTTACCCCAGAGGGGAGATGAATGTCTCTGAGAACAGCACCTTTTACATACCTTTTTTGGCAGAAAAGGTACCCTTTTGGATACCATCCATTGAAAAATGATGCCCCTTTCACATACCTACTAACATTAAGTCTGCTCTTCATTTTATCTTGCATTAAACAAATTAAATTGATACAACGGTAAGGCTTATTGGTTTGAAATGTTTTAGTTAAGGCCCGTAATTTTCCCTACCCTATATGCCTGAAGCCTGAAGAAGGTACCCCTTCTGGGCGGAGCCCCCCCGGAAAAGACTATCACATGGAGACCCCCCGGGGGTAGTAAGGTTGCTACGATTTCCTGAAATAGTCAAGGTTTATTCAGGCAAAAAACCTGCTGCATAAATCTAAAGCAACAGAAGAGGATTAAACCATTTTACTGTCACCATAGTAGCCTGTGTACAGCCAACCCTTCCCTTCAGAAAAAATCTGATTTTTCTGAGAAGAGGGGGCGGCTCTACACAGGCTATCACTATACTGATATGTATTCTTAGACAGGTGAGCAGCGTGCTTATAATCAATACCCTACAGAAGAGCCCACGTGCACCACAAGAAGCTGAAAAAATTCAGTACTGGAACAAGGCTATGGTGATAAGAAACATGAAAGCCTAGCTTTCATTCATTACATTGTAGTTATCCATAGAAAGTGCCAAATAATTATTAAGCTAATTGTTCTGATTCACTTTACAACATTACCAGTGTTAACAGCTTCTGTTACATGGATCCAAATTTAATTTAATCTGCTCATATTTGAACAACATTATCATTGAATTCCAATGCCCCCAAGAAACCTACAGAGGAGTAGGAGAATTTAGAAGAAGAATCACACATGCAGTTATGACACACGTTTCAGAAAGGATTGAGACCAGAAAATTTACATGTAAAAACTAAGACAGCAATAATATTATTGTTACATTTTCTATTGTTAATGTAATTATTTAAATTCAAATACTAATATCATGGGTGACAAATAACTACATTTTTTGGTTAGTCTGCTTCACAGCGGTTTTTAGTGTCGTCACGCAATGCTCCTCCCCAAAGCAGCTGTGTAGCAGACTATTTTTTGGTGCAAAATTTTAGCATTAATTTATAATAAATTTGGGAAATTATTTCACTTTCCTGCTGACAGAGGCAAATGGCAAACAGAAAGCTATACACGTATGTTACAAATATTATTAATCCACCCTTTGTTTTAGTGAGCGGAATTATCCATACAATAAACTAGTCAAAACTCTTAATTGCAAGTAAGCATAATTTGTCACTCATGATAATAAGCATAACTGTTAGGTAATCAAAGGGTATACTTGTGAAATTAGGAAATCATTCCTCTCATGTCATGTCAAATTTCTAACAACAGCAAGTATCTCGGCAAAATGTGGGTGATATTATTTCCTAACATCACTCATCACTATTTTGTGATTACACATACAAATTTGTTGCTGTTGCTTTCAACAGATGATGGCATTGGAATTACTGAAACATGTCTTGTTGTAACTTTAAGAATTGTTATCACGTCCTTTTTAAAGTTTCAGAATAAATTCACAAAGAGGTGAGGGCTTAAACCAACCTCAAAAGACAATGATTTAGATTATGGGTTTCTTGTATTGAACCAACACTTCATTTATAAATTAAAATATACATGTGTATTTACTAATCAGCCCTATGTGGCAGACTAGGTCCCAAAAGATATGTTACTATTTTAATTTTGGGAGGATCAACACTATACTACAAAGTAAACAAAAACAGAACTTCTCTCAGACTGTTATTGCATATAGAGAGGGATGTGGCAAGGTAAAATGAAATATAACTAGCAAGTTGTGGATCTAGAATGTGGCAAGTCTTGTGAATCATTTGCATCGTGATCTTCGTCTATGTCTTCATCACTCAGACAACTGTTCCCGTTGGGTGCACGCCCTGAATAAAAGAGAAATAACATAATTTTTTAGCTTTCCTTGACACTGTAGTGGTCCAGTTTCGAGACAAAACAATAAATTGCTGTCTGAAGACTTCAGGCAGTAATAAATAACCAAAACCAAAGAGCAACCAGACAAAAAAAAAACACCTTTATACCTTGAGCCCTCAAACAGCTCCACTAAAGTGATCATTTTTTTCTTACCTCCTGAAAATAACTAAAATTTACATGTTGCTCCTTCCAACAAATTTTAACAAGTATGATTCCTTAATAAGCAAATACTTCCCTTCGAATACCATTTCTATACAAAAAAACCACCACCCCTCACAACTACATGTATTGCTAGAGGACCATTAATAATTGCCTCATTCCTTGTCACTACTTGTTTCATTTTTTTCTCTTACAGCACTACAGGGTAATAGAGTGGGGTGTGAGGGAAAGGAAACCACCATGGACCCCTCCAGGGAAGCATGCACTTACCACTTTACCTGGTCGAGCCCATGTGCGGATGAATCCTTCATGGCAAGCCATGACAATACAGTCTTCCCTAAATGATAATGCTGTTAGCCTCTCATTTGCAACTTTCTTGGCAACTAAAGGTTCTAAAATGGGTATGTCCTCCATTCTAGGACAAAGTACAGTTCCTGGTGTGACATTTCCAGTATTCACTAAATTTTCCATGGATTTTGTCAATGTATGTACTTGAGTTAAATTCTTTGGTGCATCAAATGAAGTCAAGGGGGCAACAGCATTGCCACTGCCCGTGTGATTCACTTCATGTGTGATGGGTCCATTGGAAAAGTGATGTGCAGAGGTTACATGCGAATTTGAAAAAGTTGTACTAGCACGCACACTTCTGCCACGAGGTCTCTGAACTCTGAGAACGTCATCTCCCAAATCCCATAACATAAAATTTGTATCTTGGCCTACTGACCCAAATCTATAGCAAGTAACATTTTTGTCCTCAGAGGTAACAGAACTTGAATGCTGTGAAGGTGCAATACCATTCTGTTCAATTTCATCTTCATCACTGTCATCAACGCGACCTTCAGCACTCACACTTGTGGTGTAAGGATCAAAAGCCACTACTTGAACCCAAGACTGGTGTCCTACTCCACGAGCAATGACTCTCCGTTCAAGAAAAGACCACACCGTCACAAGGTCATCCTCACCTCCTGTGACAATGTACTTGCCATCTGGACTCCAGCAAACACAATTGAGTCCTCCAAAAAAACTCTTCATCACACCACACAGAGACTGCAAGTCAAAGTCAAAAACTCGCAAAAAGCCATCTTGATTTGCGGTTGCAATATGTTTACAGTCAGGAGAAAAGGCAAACTCATTTATAGCTCCCTCTCCAATGGTCCATTTACAAACTGGGTTCCGCGTGGTTTTTGATTTGCCACTATATATTGTATAGCCAGGTCCTTGTTTCATAAGAGCATACTGAGGAGGTCCAGCTCCTGCTGGATGCTCCTTGTTATAAACAAACATGTTCCCACTTTCATGAGCAACAAGAAACAAATTTTCAGATCCTGGAATCCATTTGAGACACATGACTTTGGTTTTATCCACAAGTCTCTAAGAGAGTAACATGAATAATATGATGGTGAGTATAAAACAAAGGGAGATACTGGTTATTGAATTAAATAAGAATTATAACATCACGACTGCCAACGCCAGTTGGCAAAATTCTACCTATGGTCAGATATGATGACCAGACAAATCAAATTAAGACTATCACTTTGTAGACAAAGCTTTGTCTAGTAATTATTAAAGAAGTTAAGAGTCAACATCATACAAGTCAACAATTTTTCTGCATGTCTGGGTAAAATGGTGACTTTGTCAAGCATATGTCCTTCTTAAAAAGATACTCAGTGCTACTGTTTGAAAGATAATGGACTGTTATCAGGGATCAAAATGAAATCACAGCTTTTAGCCTAAATCTCAAAACTTTTCTTGTCAAGGCTTATTTTTTCCCGGCTGTGAATAATGAATAAGTTTGCTTTGCATGTGTCCAATAACGGCTGATGATTTCAAACGGGAGATTCTATGAATAACTTATTTTCACTTTCCACGATGATCTGCATGATCTGCATGTGTTAATTAACGACTCTACCAAGAACTATTTGCTAAGCACGTGACCAAAATCTTTTTGAATTGAAATTTCACTTTCTTCCTTGAGGAACCTTGAAAACAGAAAGTGATTTTAAAAAGATTTTGCATATAACTTGCATGTTTCATGCTTCAACAAACGGGTAAAAGATAATTAGTGAATCACGGTGAACAAGAATTCTCTTTTTCATCTTTGGAAGCACGCTTTAAATTTCCAAACCTTTTTCTACACTTTCCAAACATATTAAAACGTTTCTTGGCTGCTTTATTGTCTGATACGAAATGTTTACCACAACATTACAGGGACTTTGATTTCAGTTGGCCGATCAAAGCATGACATTTTCTATTTCCTTGGTGAAAAGTCAGCAGCAAGTGTGCTCAAATTCCGGCTGCTAGTTTGAACCCTGGTTATGCAATGATCTTCACATTATCAAGGTAAAAGCCTCACTTCTAAATTATACAAACTTTATGTGATGTGGCAATGATATTGTTACCTCTGTATCCTGCATCCCTGACATAAAAATCCCCAAAGACACAAAATAATTCATGGCATGTGTCCCATAGAATGCAAAGAATGATCAATTGATTTGAAAATTTTTTGGTAGAATATCCTGTTTGTGTGATTTCTGTGGCTGTTGTTTGAAGATGCATATTTATTTTAGTCTTTTTTGTGCTTTGAATATATAGAAAGACTATATTTTAATTTCAGTAAACTGTAATAAAGAGTTTTGGCAGCTGTCTCCAGATTACATGTAACTGTCTGGTTACATAAAGGCCCAAGCATTTTCAATTTAAGACTCCCTGTTTTTTTTTTCCACTCATTGGTTAAGGACAAGGACTCATGAGTTTCCACAAGATGAGTCCTACATGTAGGACTAAACACAACTATCTGTAACAAAATCACTGAGTATGCACTTGTTGTCAGTGAAAGGTTAAATGGCACTTACCTCCTCATTGAACAGTTTGTTGACCTCATGTTTGACAGGATCAAGTAGCTGAACTTGTCCAGCAGAGAAGCCAATCAAGAGTTCCAAGCTCTCAGAGGACCGTGTTATCAGGTTGAAATCATGACAAGTTGGGATTGTCCCTTTGTAGAGACGTTTGTCAATAGGCTTTGTTAGGTCTGCTGCCTGCAAGTAAAGAAAAACAAGGTCTCAGAGGAAAAGCTTAATTTTTTGACGTTGTTTTTCTAGCCCTGCATAAATCCCAGGGAGGGGTGGGGGTGCTCAACCAATATTTGGGTATAGCTGAGCTGACCCTGACCCTGTTTAAGGCAAAAAATTCCCAAAATATATGCCCTGTTTAGGACAACCACCTCTATTTTATTACCCTGTCTAGAACAAAATATATGCCAGAGTAAATTCACATAACAGTCCTTGCTTTAGTATACTTGAAGTATGAACAAAATTCATTAGCGAATCAAATCAATCGGCAGGCAATACCCTGTTGACAGACTCACAGGAAATACATGTAATATACCCTGTTTAGACAGACTCACACAAAAGTATATACCCTGTTTAGGACAGAGAGGTAAAAAAGAATACCCTGCCCTGTCCAGCAGCACATCCTGTATAGGCCATGTGAAGGAGTACATGTAATCTTAAAGTGGAATTCTTACCCCAATACTGCAATCCATTCTAAATTATGAGTGGAATGCACTGATTAAAAAAATGGCAAGCATTCTCTCTTAGCTTATTCTGTCTTGGGTCAAGTACGAAAAAAAAAAATTCTTTATTCAAAATTCATTCAGGACCTTAGCCTCTCATATTATGAAAAATTTTCACAACGTAACAAACATGTTACAGTGAACCTGGTAAAAAATTTCCAGGAAGAATAAAATTTGAACGTGATTGTTTCAACAATGACTTCGCTAATGGTTTAATATTGCCTATTTCACTTTAAGGGTTGAAATTCAAAACAATTTTGGATTCAAGAATTGAATTTTGATGATATAGATGAGCATCCATCTTCAAAACTTTAACAAGTTCATCCTCAAGAAACCTCAAGATCGTTTATCACAGTCTCTGACTAAAATTACATGTACCTGTTACAGTACAGGCCAAAGTATTGTTCTTGAAACATGACAATGAAATTTGGATCTTACTTTGTACTGTGCTGACGATTTTAGTTTGTGACTCAATGAGATGGACCGAACAAAATACAA